AATAAAATTTTATTATTATTATTATTATTATTATTATTATTATAAATGTAGTTATAGCTACAGATGGTGTAGCCAACCCTGTATGCAGGATTGATGCACATGATAAACTATTGCATCACACTGGCTCTTGAGGAACATATGTGAAAAGATTTGAGCACTGATAAATCTGTAGCTAAATAGCTCAGCCTGACTCCTGTTATCTACACTTTCTGATGATTTCACGAACAGCGTTTGTGGTGTGGCAGATATCTTTAATCCAGCCTCCTCCCCAACCTGGCATGCTCCAGTTCCAGGAGTTAAACTGTAATGCCTATCATCTCTAGCTGATTGCATTGATGGGAACTGTAGTTCAGTACCCCGGAGAGTGCCAGGTTGGAGACAACCTGGTTTAAAATGATCACATCAAATGGGAGAGCCTAGGTGGAGAGGGGCGTGTGTTGTGTTCCAGCTCCTTTTCACACAGACAGGCATAGCTGTCTTCCCTGTGAGTCATCATTATCGCTTGCAGCTCCTTGAATTCCAGCTTAGCAGCGTGAGAGAGCCTTGCAAGATCTCTAAGAGGGTGGCAGAGGTGTGCCTTTGTCCTTAACATCCGAAAGGGTGGGGGAAAACCAAGGGGAAAATATATAGATACGGGGAGTCGTTTTGGATCTCCATGGACTGTGGGAAGAGCAGTGCAGCTTTTATGTTTCCAGGATCCAAAGTAATTCCACTGTCTGCCTGCAGAGTGTGAGAAAGAAGGTAAGGACAAAAGAATCATTTGTGATCGCTTTCCTCCTGATGGAGAATTTGTCTTTTGTTTTTTACTTTTTCACTTGACTTGTTTCTACCTTTACCAGAGGCCTGCTGAGAAGACCCTCCTGTGAAAACAAGTGTCTGTTTCTAATTATCATGACAATGCTTTCCTTATTAGATCTATGCTAGGAGCAGGACATTTACAAAAATGTATAAAATAGGACTGTAAATAACTTAGGCCTATGCCAGTCTCTGGAAGCAGGGAATGGGGTGGAATCCAGTGTGTTGCGTCATTCTGGAATTTACGTCAGTAATGCAAAGGTTGGGAAAAGGAGATCCACAACATGGGTATGTACCTTTTCCACTAATGATCTTTACATTGTTTTCCAATTTAAATTAAGAATCTTGTAAGAAATTCCTCAACAACATGTTTCCAACAACCACCTATCCTGGGGTGTAGCCAACACACACCCAGTATGTGGGGATAGCCGCCTTATGTTGTCATATCATCATCTGCTGAACCTTGTGAGATTATTCTAATGGTATCTTCAAATAGAAAGGTTCCATTTTAGCAATGCATAGGCCTATCCTCCCTGGGAATAAAAACATATTTAAAATAAATAAATAAATGATTAAGATGTATCACATTTTGTGGGAACGATGTCCATATTTTGATTTAGGTGTTATGTAAATAAGAATATGGTTTTTGTCCTGAAGGCTACTGCCAGTCATTGACTTTGGGTGACATTGAATTCTGGTGCCCTGAGAGAGATTACTGGGAATTTTATCAGGCTCAGTTTTGAATCACCTCTCCTTCCTGGCTGTTTGGTCATTTCTTCTGCTCTTTACCTGTAAATTGGAAAGAACCATATTCTTTGAAGGTTTCCTTAAAGGATCCTCCAATCTTTTTAAATTGCCCTTGTATGTCTTTTCCAGTTCTATCAGATCCCATTTTAGGATGAAGTAACCAGGGCACCACATTGTGTTCAAAATGTAGGTGCCCGTTTATCATTTCCTAAAATTTTGGCCACTGTCTAATAATTTGTTGTTGTTGTTGTTGTTGTTGTGTGCCTTCAGTCATTTCCAACTTATGGTGACCCTAAGGTGAAGCTATAATGGGATTTTTCTGAGGCTGAGAGTGTGTTACTTGCCTAAGGTTACTCAGTGGGTTTCCATGGCTGAACAAGGATTTGAACCCTGGTCCCTAGAATCATGGTCCAATGTGCCAACCTCTATACCATGCTGACTCTCATAATTATTAACACTGACATTTTTTATACCCCTTAGCCTGATGAAGACTTGTGGAGAACACAAAAGGTCACAGATATTTGTGATGTTTTGGTTTATCCCAATAAAGGTGTTACTCAACCTGCCTTTAAAAAAATACCTTACAGGTATTTCTGGTTTTTTAAAATTGAATTTGGCTTTCGTCTTTGTTTTACTGCTATAGCATAGCTGTTGTTGTCATTGAGCTTTCCAATATTGCCCTAAGGACTCTTTGCTAGGTATTATAGCTAGCTTAGACTTCCTCACTGAAGAGGTAAAATCAGGATTTTGGCCTTCCTGCTTACAGCTGGAGAACTAGTGTTCTGGTTTATGTAAGTATGAAGAGGTAAGTATGTAGCCTCCATTTCAAAGTGTCCTTAAAACTAGCCTAAGGACCACGTTTTACTCTTAATTGATCCCAGTGTGAAATGTTCTTGCACTGGGGGAAGCCAGTATGGGTGACCTCCCTTATGCCAGTGGATTTATATATCTGCATTCTTAACATTGCCACCTCCACAGTTTCTATTTTAGAGAGCCTGTGACCCAGAAAAAGAGTCCAAATGTTCTATGTCTCTCTTCCTCCCCCTAAAATGCCAGCTTGCAACAAATAATTTAGGTCTTAAAGAACGTATGCTTTCACAAGAAAAGAAGGTAAAACCTCATCACACAAATCATGTTTTTAATAATTAATAACTTAGTGGGCTATAGCCTGACTTCATCATACTGAGAACAGACCCACTAAAATCAGACAGATTCAAGTGAATCAAGTCTTACGGACGTCCAATGGATTTTGATGAGTTAGTCCCTGGGGAGAGGATTGAAGCAGGGAGTGTAGCCACAATGCATAGTTATAAAATTTTGGTACCACTTTAATTTCCATGCCTTCTTCCTATACAGTCCTGGGCTTTGCAGTTTGGTGAGGTACCCAGAATTATTTGCTAAATAGCTCTACTACATTCTTTTTAATTACAGCACTAGAGTTCTCTAGCTGAGAATTCTCATTTCACCACAACACTACAAATCCCAGGATTCCGCAGGATGGCGCCATGGCAGGTAAAGTGGTATCAAAGTGCTACAACTGTGTAGTGTGTATACAAGATGAATTTACAGCTGCATGCAAGATTCCAGGCCACAACCAGAAGAGCTCCATTCCATTTCTTATGGTCTGACAGACAGGGGAACAGATCTATTTATTTATTATGTTGCATATTTATTATATTTAGATACTTCCTTTCTAGCAAAATATTCAAGGTGTGTGCACTACATCTTAAAAACACAGAGTCCCCAGATGATGCCAAAGTAAGAGGGAGTTGAATGGGAGCATACTAGGAATGGGAACAATATTTGAAAACTTTTTAAAAATGTGTTTCATGAGTATCAGGGAACCCTAATGAAGAGATTCCTGGACTGACAAGAATCTTCACAATTCAGGACTTATTTACTCTCTGCAAAATTCACATTTTTTTTTCTTTGTACAGAAACAACAACAACAACATTCTCTGTGTGAGAAACAGCACTTTGCGCACCAAAAATGTTTCTTTCCAGAAGTATTTTTTTTCTATGCAGAAAATGCATGGTCAAATTAAAAAGACCAGAGGATCCTTTAAAGAAGCCTTTGAAGAATGTGGCTCTTTCCAGTAGATAGATAAAGGTCAGAAGGAATGAAAGGAAGAAGAGGATATTAAACAATTAAAAGGGGCAACGTGGGAGCAGAAGAGAGGAACTGGGACATTTTAAAAGCAGCTGAAAAAATTAGATGACGGAGACTTAATCCCCACCAAATTGGGACAGTATGAGGTTATGCTATACTGGAAGAGGAAAAAGAAAGGAGGGTGGCGGAAACAGAATCCTGAATCCTCTTATAATTTCCATTTTGCATACCACCCTAAAATAGCATTGGGGGAGGAAGGAAGGAACAAAGGAACTTAGTTCTGTAGACATATAGTAGAGGGTCCATACTAGACAGCTGTGTGTGAGAGAAAGTAAAACTAGGAAACTACATCTTGTGCACCTTGGAGTAAAGGAAGAAGCATCTTTCACTTTACAAGATGATAACAATGACGATGAGAACAACAACAACAGGGCAGCCACTGAAAGGGCCCTCTCCTGTTTCCCCACCAGATTTACCTGTGAGGATGATGGGACAGAATGAAGCACACACACCCAGCAGACATCAAAATATGGGCTGTTTCATAATGGAAGATATGGTCCTTCAAACAACCTGGACTTGAGCCATATAGGACGTAATAGTTCAAAACCAGCACTTTAAATTGCGCCTGGAAATGGACTAACAGCCAGTAAAACCAGGGGTACGCAACCTTTTCCCTTTAAGGCTCGAGGGACTTCAGCTCCCAGAAGCCTCAGCCATGTTGGCCAATAGTCCCATATTGGCCAATAGCTCCTGGGATTCTGGGAGCTGAAGTCCCTCGGCCCTTAAAGGGGAAAGGTTGCTTACCCCTGAGTAAAACTATTGCAACAAGGGAGCTGTGTGTTCCATGTAGACAGCTCTAGTTAACAATCTGGCTGCAGCTTTTTGGATCAGTTGAAGTTTCCAAATACTCTTCAAAGGCAGTCCCACGTCGAGTATGTTGCAGTCAGCTATGCACTTGTGAGAGGCCCATTGGGTTGAAGAGAATCTAGGGGACCTTTCACAGTACACAATTACAGGACTGTGATTCCACCACAACTGCCATGGCAACATCATGTGGAATCCTGAGGTTTGTAGATTGGTGAGACACTAGCATACTCTGGCTGGGAATTTTAAATACCCTTCCCAAGAACCAGTGTGGTGTAGTAATTTGAATGCTGGACTGTAACTCTGGATACTAAGCTCTGATTCCCTGCTCAGCCCTGGAAACCCACTGGGTGACTTTGGGCAAGTCATATACTCTCATCCCCAGGAAACCTCATGATAAGATTGCCTTAAGGTTGCCATAAATCAGATACAGCTTTATGGGACGCAGCAATAACATTGCCTATCTCAGGATTCTATAGGATGATTCTATGGGAGTTAAAATGGAATCATAACACTATAACTGTGTAGAGAGAAAGGGTCTGTGATGTTTTGTTGGACAGCTGATTCATGACAAACGGATGCAGTGACCATGAATGAATTTGCTTTCTGAGGGCAGAGCCCTTATCAGGCAATCAGATGGCAGTCGTGTCTCTGGTCAAGTTTCTGGCTGCTGTAAGTGTTAATTAGTTTTGAAAGAAGTGGTGGCTCAGTTCATACTGATGGAAAGTTGGAAAGTTCTCCGACTCATGCAGATCTTACAGATCAATATGTTCACCAGGAAATAGGGGTTGGTTATTGAACTCAAGTCTGGTAGATGGTAAACATAATTAGAGTCTTAACCAATTGAGAAGACTAGTTCTTGGGAAATAGCTCCAGGCTTTGAAGACTTCATGCACATTCAATTCTGTGTCCAAACCTCTGTGCTCTACATTTTGGCCACCTCTATGCAGAAAGAGAAACCTATTTTGGAGGGCCTCCCCTGCTGTTTTGGTTCTGGATGGTTCTCCTGTGATTATACCCCAGTTAAATATAGAATTTAACTGATGATCAGTGTAGTTGAATCCAGTGTGTCTTGTTGCTAAAGGACAGATACTTAGGTTTGGAAAGATCTAACATATTAATCAATGGTCAGAAGACCTTGCTGCTTTAGCTGTATGTAAATGTGTATTTTGTTGATGTGAAGTTCACGAAAATGTGTTTTTGGAAACAATGGCAGCTTATATTAATATACATGCCTAGCTACATTCATATCTGATGTGTTTTTCCCATTTCTTCCTCCTCCTCTATCTTTAAGTTTAAAATGGTGGTGGAGGGAGGTTTGATACAGGTAAAGGCTGTACCACTTGGTGGCCATGAGGCATTTGGGACACAAAAGCAAAGCACCGAAGTAAACATTTTTCTGCATTGTTAGAAACAAAGACTGCTTTGAAACCTAGCATGTATTTGTCCTGTGCAAGGCTAGGCAGAACACATAGTCTCTCAAAAATTGACATACCTGGAGGAAACTCTTGGTGCTGTAAAAGGTAAAATATGCCAATGATAGCCAATTTCAATTTCAGTTACAAAATGGTGTAATGATGTCAAAGTCTTTATCTGAACTCTGTGCAGGTCCCTGTGCAGTGGATGATTTTAAGCAACTGAATGGGTTTAAGCAAGTTACATTCTTTTTTGGCTCCCACCTCCACATGCCATACATATGGAAATACGGATACTGTGACCTACCTTTGACATTTGTTTGTAAGATGCATAAACAGAGTTATTGTGAATTTCCTGCTCCAAGGTACCCTCTGCCTTCTCAGCAGGGATGTCTCTTGGATCAACGACAGGACTCTGAACACATTTCAGAGGAATTCTTGTGTTCTTTCTTGGGGCCAATACACTAACCAGGTAGTCCAGCACATTTGGAGTGCCCTTAGTAGGGGAAGACTGTCAGATGAATCAAGCTAGGTATTGTATTCAGTAGGTTGAGCCATAATTCTTCACTATTAAAAAAGCAGAAATGTGTAGTAAAGACTGAGGATATTAAAAAATAGCTTCCTTTCTGCTTTCTTGGTCAGATTTGGTGACCTAGTTCTGGACAATGCTGCGTGCACTAAGGAAGTACAGTTCGTAGCACGTTTTAGAGTCATGTGCTGCTTTTTATAGATGTGTTGAGACCATTTATTAAAATACACACATTAAAAGTCTGATAAACTGAGGCTGGGGGAGATGCAGCAGGAGGATAAATGTAGCTGGCTGCTGCTAACTCAGTGGTCCTGAGACTTTAGTCCTCTTGGGTATTTTGGATTTCAACTCCCAGAAACTTAAGTTAGCAAGGTCAGTGGTCATGATTATGGAAAATGAAGTCTGCAAAAATATCTAGAGAGCCAAGGGTTGAGAACTACTACCAGTCAACAAGTAGTCAGTTCTTTGATGAGGTGAGGAGTACCTTTGCAACTTCAGCTTCCCTTGAGCTCATTGAAAGGT